TTCTCTCTCTCTCTCTCTCTCTCTTTCTCACATCTTTTTCCCTTGATCTCTCTTCTCTCTTTTCTTTCCTTTCCTCCTTTTTCTTCTTTTCTCTTTTCTCTTTTCTTTTCTTTCTTCCATTTTTTCTTTTCCTCTTTTCTCTTTTTTTTTCTTTTTTTTCTGTCATCCTGCCTGTCCATCTCAAAATGACGTCGTTTCTTTCTTTTTTTTTCCCCGTTACTACATGGCAAGGGACGATGACGAGAGGCCACGCGGGCAATCCGCGTGTCCGCGATTGGACGACCCAAATTCACTCACGCGCACACGAACGGTCCGAATGCATTTCCTCCCCAGACGTGATCGGACGGTCAGATTTAAATGCGATCAACGGTCCAAATCCACTTCCTATTTAAATATGATCGGACAGTTCAGATCAGATCTCGATGAACGACTCAGATTCACTCCCTATTTAATCGCAATTTGACAGTATAAATCAAACGCGATGGACGGCCCAGATAAAAAAAGGATGAATATAAATAACTCTCTTCACACCAAACCCTAACCCTAGCCGCCAGACTCCCCCGCCGGAGAAGAAGACCCAGCTGCCACCACCCGTCGCTGCGCCAGAGCCACTTTCGACTGCCAAAAGAGATAAAAATTTCCTTCATTGCTCGAAATTCAAATTTAAACACCCCATAACCAAATCGGAGCAAAAAGATCAGCGGATTAGTCCAAAACTGCGACAAAGTCCGGCAGTGCCGCAACGAAAAATTGTAAAAATTGCCTCCGATGAGGCCTTCCCGATTCCTGTTCTCCGTCATTCTTCCACCATTGTAATCACCGTTTCTTTCTTTACAGGTTGACCAAAGCAAAACACCCAACCGCAAAGGTGAGCTGGCAGAGTCGTCGCGCCAGAAAACTCCGCTGCCAGTGAGTTCGATTTTTTATTTTTTCAGCCAACCGATGTCCCTTAACGTGTTTTCTTGCAGGAATTGATGCAAAATCGGACGAAAATAGCTGACTTGAGGCAAACCACCACTGCAGGCGGCGGTGCTGTCGCCAGAGCACGGCGGATCCGCCATGACGGAATTCCAAAATTAGCTAAAAAGAGGTCCTGAGACTGATTTTGAGTTTTTTTTTTTTTTTAATATTTATAAGTATTTGTAGCGCATTTTAATCCCTGAAGAAAAATTTAGAGAACTAAGGGACTGCAAGTAAGCGCAGTCAATAAGTTTAACATTTCAGGCATCAATTCGAGTAAAAATCGCTAACTCTATTTTCTATTATAGAATTGAAGTCAAATTGACAATAGTACGGTGTTTCATGCAATTTAAAAAATATTTATAATTAATTATGGGTTTCTAATGGAGATAAAACTGAAAATTATTCACTATTGATTATGTTGATTAATTTTAGAGTTTGAATGCATGATAGTATCTGATTGATCGATTTTATAGTTTTGAATGCATGTATTGTTTATTTTATGTTATTACGGTTCAATTGGAAAACTGAAAATTAAAGGTAAACAAAAAATTATGTGATTAAGTGAATTGATGAAACAATAGCCTTACTGGATATCCTGAGAGATGGCGGACGGACCAGATATATAAGGAATCCTACAGTGAATGTTGACTCATACCGGACGGAGTATCGAGATTTGGTAATTTAGCACTCATACCGAACGGGGTATGGGGACGGCCCGTTTCACCCTCATGTCGGACGGGGTATTGAAGTTTAATAGTTTGACGCTCATACCGGACGAGTTATGGGGACGACTCGTTAATTGAAAATGTTAAAGAAAATAGTTTACGTATTGTGGGGACATCCCTATAAACCCCCACAAATATCAGTAGGTTAATAAAAGAGAAAATTATTATGCCAACCAATTGCATAAGAAATTATAAAATATGCTATGTCATAGATTCCATAGGTTGTTCTTGTAAATCTCGCTACGGTAAGTAGACGGTAAATGATTTTATTTATGATAAACGATTTTGTTAAATTAGGAGTCCCATTAGTCGTTTTCATTATTTCTACAAACCTTCATTTCTGTGTCGGAGAGTAGCGTGATATTCTTACTGAACTAGTGTAACTCATTCATCTATTAACAATTTCATATCAAGAAAATCAGAACCTAGAGCCCGATCTGCAAGAGGCTTGCGAGTAGAATACCAATTTTATTTATTTTCTGATTATTTCTTTAATTTTTCGTATTTTTTTGAAAAAGATCATTTCCGTATTCATACTTCGATACTTTAAGTTATTGCGTAAAAAATATAAACCCTAACTATTAATTTTCATTTTCGCACTTAATTTACGATTTATTTCATTTGAAATTTTCGGAGTTATTTTGTGACAATTTATGCAAGTAAGCTTTATCTTCTTTTTTTTCACTTATATCTTATCAGAATTTAATGAAATTGTTAATTTAATCATTAAATATTTTTCATAGAGAAAGCGTAACATCACAAATTTATTCATGACTTTATAGGCACAAGAAAAACGTTATAATTGCCACACACACTAATTTTTTTTTTGAAGCCACACTGTTCGTGCAACACTAATTGAAAGATTTAAAACGAATTTAATTAAAAAAAATCAAAGATGTTTAAAACATGATTTACAATAAGAAATCAAAAGCAATAATTTGTCAACAGACTTTTAAGTAATTTACGAATAATTACATAGATGTCATAAAGAAAAAAATATAATCACTCGGAATATTTTTATGGAGTAGTAGATTCACAGTTTTACTTTTCTCCCTTTCTTAAAAAAATCTTTTCACTTTTTTACTTTTGTACTTTTTTACCTTTTGTTTTTAAGGTGAAAACAGAGACGGTATTTTGTAGATCAGTACAACTTCTATACGTTTTCTCGAAACCAACTGTATTTAGATACTTAGAATTTGATCAACAATAATATAACTCGGTCCAAAATAATAAGTAACTTGGAAATTACATAATCCAATATGTTTGACACGATTAAATGAAAGATCACCATAAAGATTATAAAGAGACAAAAACCAGAATCAAATAATGAAATACATGAACTTACACTGTAACTAATATTGGATTAAATAGTTATAACCCATTGCTCTTAATTATTGATTTTTTGGTAATATTATGTAGTTTAGGTTTAATGTCATCCAATAATGCCAACATGGTACCCAGTTCTAAATGATATTCTCAGGATCAACACAGTAATTACACCATGCTAATGACTTAAACTTAATGGATATATGTAAAGCATGCAATTAATGGTGTTGCTGTTACAACAAGAAGTGAGAACAGATAATGTACATATACAAACACATATATATTAGATATATCCACTAATCTGGAGATCTACAAGCACAGCTGATCAAATAATCGAAGTTCAGCAACAAACAAAATGACATCGTTGATAGTTCGGTACCAATTTCAGAAATGAAAAATTGACGCACAGAATAAATGTAGTGTACATGCACACGATGAAACAAATGTGGGCCTTATCTTTTTTCTTTCTTTTCCAATATTTCATCACACACTTCTTCTGGTAAGTCTCACAAGAATTTGGAAAGAAACCTCCAATTATCGTTTTGTGGACGCTAAGTTTCTTAATAAGACTTAGCTTTACATCTAAAAAGAAATCTGATTTAGTTTTAAGTACTTACGAAGAATCTGCCCGTCAATCATTTAGTAAACTCATGAAATATCAAGCTATCTTGGAAAAACAAAAAAGAACCATTTTTAAACAAAGGAAGGAAAGAAAAAGACACATTCCCAATAATTCAACTGATGAAACCTTCCAGAATACACAAGCAAACATGAAAAAACCTCAAAAGTCAACTGAAGAGATCTGTAAAAGTAAACTGCAGGGATTTTTTTTTTCCAAAGTTCAATACCTGACCTCCTCTTGAAAAAGAGTTCTAGTTACTTTTTTCTTCTGAGTCCAGCAATAAAATGTTCTCATTTCAGGAGAGTCTTGGCAATGGACTTCACCTGAAGCTTCTTCAGATCGGTGTATGATTGTCCACAGCCGACAAACATCACTGGAGCTCCAGATATGTAAACCATTGATAATGCCGCTCCAACCTATAACATCATCAGGTGCACATTAAAAATTGAGTAATATTCTCAACGCAAAGCTTCCCACCATACAAAATTTTTTACCTTGTCATCAATTGTGTCAAACTTGGTGAGCAAAATACCATCTATCAGTCTGGGATTAGATGAGGTTGAGAGATCAGCTAATTTCTGCCAGAAAGCAAGAAAAACTATGTTAATAGTTTTTTTAAAAATAAAAATTCAACAACCAAATATTCTAGTGATAGCTTGTCTTTATTTGAGATCAAATATCTCTCTGATTTAATTAGATGCAGACCATCTATATGTTAAAATTAAAAAATTCACAAAGGAAATATTTGTAGTCTCCCCATAGAGAGTTTAACAGTGGACTTGATCTGCAAGTTAAATACTAGCTGACGACCCCTTCCGGAAACTAATACCATTGTAACAAGGCAATAACAGTGAGTTGACTACGAAACTTAACTTGATTAAACTTTGACAGCTGATCAACTGCATCATTTCCAACGAGTGCCTCTCCAACAAACAAGACTAGATCGGGATTGTTGAGATAAATGAGCTTTGAAAGAGCTCTCATTAAAGGCTCGTTATCCTGACAAGCATACAACAAGTTCAGAGTTTATCTTTGTTCATAATTGCTCTTGAAAGATTTGTTCAGCCATTTCAAGAACAAATACTTAAAGAGGAAGCAAACTTCTTAAAACAATTCATTTTTTTAAGAAATTGAAGGAAAACCTACTTCAAACAGCAATACAAGCAATCATTAACTGCTTGTATCAGAAAATGGAAAAAAAAACTAGTTAAGTGCTAAACATTAACATGAATGTTGGTCGATACCTGCATCCGACCAGCTGTGTCAACCAAAACAACATCTGAACCACTCCGAGTTGCTTCCTGTATTGCTTCCTTAGCTACAATGGCTGGATCCTTCTCATAACCCTTCTCAAATATTGGGATCTACCATGTTCATTCGAAAAATTCATTTTTAATACCCAGCTCCGTCGAAGAATATCTATTTCATATGAATAATATGAATAGAAGTTAAAATGTCAAACTCATGCATTACCTGCAGCCTTCGTGCATGAGTTCGCAGCTGCTCAACAGCTCCTGAACGGAATGTGTCACAAGCAGCCATCATAACGCTAACCTTATGATGCAGAAGCCAGTATGCCACCTGCAATGACATTTTTCAGTTAGCCCAGTAATGAAAGAATGTTCTTTAAATAATGGAAAATGCAGAATAAAACAGACTTATCAAAACCTTGGCTAGGTTGGTAGATTTCCCAACTCCATTAACCCCAACGAAAACAACAACATATGGTTTTCCAAGCTCCTTAGCAGCTTGCACATCCCTCAGAATGTCAATAGAGCGCTTAGGAGTTAAGATACGGATAAGTGCTTCTTCCATTGCTGCCTGCAGTCAAAATGTAATCATGACAGTGAATTTAGACGTAAAAAAAAGTGAGGAATCAGGTTTAACAGTCATATGAACAAACGGTAAAGTTCAACCTGTACAGTTGAAGATATCCTCGTAAATGAAGCCAGTTTTTTGCCTTCAAGACTTGCTGCTACAGATTCACAAAGCTTCTCAGCTATCTCCTCAGCCTGCAGTTGCCAAATACTGAGAATACTGCTACAGATCCGGCAATACTGAGGATAATTCTAAAAGCAAAAAAAGTAAAAGACAAAAAGACATACCACGTTCTTGGTCATGAGCCTATCCTTAAGAGCTTTCAGAGCCGGTTCCAAATCTGCCTTCTCCAAGTTTGCCTTGCCTGCAATACTGGGCACAAGCAAAAAATGAGAAATAAGTTACGATCATATATTAACGTGAGCTCCAAGTACAGATGAGACAGAAAAGTAAAATCAATATCGCAATTATCATATGCTTTAGAAATACCCTTCATAATGCAACAGAGAAGTCCCATTACCCTATACCAGGATGCAGCTTTAATTCAACTCAAGGGGGTTAAATTTCAAATATTCAGTAACCCATTGACTTCCCGAATATTCACAAATAACAATCACAGGTTGAACTAAGATTCAATCTCATTATCAAAAGACTAGCTCAATTGACAAGAGTCGGAGCACCAGAAAATGTAACGCTCAAAGTTCCATAACCAGAAACCAGCAAAAATGAGGCACAATGGTAAAAGAAAGTACACACGTATTTACAGCAATAAACATTTGAAGACAGCAGATGCAACTCAAAAAATAAAATCTAAACAGAACAATCAATATATATACATATAAATAATTACCTCTGGAACATAGAAGAAAACCACCCCTTTTTCTTCGCTTCAGGCTTGTTATCGTTCCCCATATCCTCATCGCCTTCAGTTTCACTTTCACTACTGAGAATCTCTTCTTTGTCCATCATACTTTCACCTTGATCTGCTGCCACAACATCTATGTGGTCGTAACTATCTTCGGCCATGGGATCTGTAAAATCCAATTTTGATTCTGGAGGCGAATCATCCCAAACCCTGTTCTTCTTTGTTGCCTTTTTCTTCATGTCCACCTTAGAGTCCTCCTTGTTAGTAATAGTGTCTTTTTTCTTCCCACCTTTACTTCTTAATTTCTGAAGTTTACTTACATCAAAAGCTCCAATGTTGGAACCAGTATTTTCTTTACCATTAGTAACAGCTGTTACCCTAGATTTTTCCATGTTGGTATGATTGCCACCGGTGACTTTGGCGCTATCACCATCCCCACCGTCATTCCCAGAGCCAAATTCGCTTTTATTCCTTTTCCCTCCTTCAAATCCAGCTTTTTGTAACTGTCCTTGCTTCCTGCTGTTTACAGGCTTAATCAGTTGCTTTGATTTTTTCAGTTCCTCAGTTCGAGCTTCTGCCTCCATGCGAAGCTGCCTAAACATCTCATCAAAATCATTATATTCAGTCCTTTTCGGGTCATAAATCTTGGAGAACTCATGCTTAACCATTGAAAGTAAATCATCCACATAGAGCAGGTGGAGAATCCGCTGATAAACAGCAACAAAAACGAGACCAAGCTCGTTATGGAATGTCCACTTGAGGGTGTAAGCAGCACCTGGAGCATCATAATTATAAGATGCTGCCCCAGACCTTTCCTCCAAGAGGCAGGAACGGATTAGAGTTTCAATGGGCGATCCCTTCAAAGCATTGCCAAGCTCTTTGCACGTCCACAGGATTAACCCTCCTCTAGTAAAAATAAGCAACTGTTCTAGCATATTAGTATCCTGCAAATAAACCAAGCTAAATCAATAACTAAAAACACCAAAATTTTGAAAAAAAACTAATACAAAATCTAAACTTCCAAATATGGATGGCAACAGGAGAGGTCAAGGCAGAAACCCCTGCCTGCCGACCACCCATGTTCAATTCAGGAATATATCCCCATTTCCCCACCAAGCAATGAGATAATTTAACCCCAACTTCAAGTCACATATGGAAGTTTTTTGTTTTAAGATGAGTTCGATCTCCTAAACAGGCATCTCCAGCAACCATACAATAAAGGACAAATATATTAAAGGAAAGCTATCAAGATTATTAATGATTAATCATCCAGCACAGTATTGACTAAAACAGAATCCAGATGATTAAGTCATGTAAATGGACGGTCAAACTTCTTTTTATTTCCTTGAGAATATGTAATGCAAATAATGTTCAAGGAAAGAATCCCAATCCTGCAACCTCGAACATTCTGCTATCTTTCAATTTATGATTTTTAATTTACGATTTAACCTACTTTCTGCTAGGTTCGTGAACTCTTATATGTTAGATAACTCTTACTAAAGAGAGCTAAAACTCTTAACATGCATCTCCATTAACCATCTGGTGGGGTTTTTACATATAAGGAAAGCTTTCAAATTCAAAATAATATTCGCCATCCAGCAAAATCTTGACTTAGAAACACTTTACAAGAATTTCATCATATAAATGCACAATGAAACTTCCGTCCGTATTTCCAATAAATTTGCTACGTCAAACCCATCCAAGAAAAGTCTCAACACCCAAAGATGATATGATACCCCTATTGTGAGTCAATTATTCAAGGTCAACTTCTACTTACACATCCTCACAAGAAAGAAAAGAAAATAGTCCTAGCACATGCATTCAGTTAATGCTATTAGATAAAGAAGCGATAAACAGAAGATCATCCTTTTTTGGGACTTTTCAGTAATCAAAATTTTCCATTAGTAAGAAGCTGAAATTCGAGCGAATAAAAAATTAACATGTAAATAAATGTTGATACAAGTAATGATAATGAGACATCGCAAATATATAATACTACAATTTTCACCTCTGTCATCATCCACAAACATGCAGTTCAATGAGACAAAAGGCAATTACTAAACCAAGATTTTCAATCTCAACAAAATAAAACTAGAAAGATTATACAACTGATATAGAGATAGATGAGTCATTCAAATATTAAGCACAAACAATCATTCAATACTGACTAAAAACACGTCACAAGAACTCCATCACATAAATACAAAGCCAAACTTCCTTTCGTTTTCCTGCAAATGTTCAATACCATTCACGAGATCAGGCCCCAGCAAACTTACACGCTAGGCTTTTTTTCTCTCTAAAGATTCGTACATGTGATAGTAACTTAAATATACCAAGAGATGATACAATTTAACCTAAATTCTGCTATATGTGTATATTCTACTCGCATCTCATCCTCTTTTCGATCGTTTTCCCCTGACACTTCTCCTTCTCAGCCTTTTTATCCTCAAACCTCCCAAAAAACCCTAATCTCTCTCTTTTTTCTCTTCTCCGATTTCTCTCTTAATCTCTTTCTATCGGATTCCCCTTCTCGTTCTTTTCAATTTTCCGAAATGGCTTTTGTCGATGCATCAGGTAAGGGGGAAGGGATCGCGAGAAACAGCACTGTTTCAGTTTCCTAAATCTAGGCCGGATAAAACCAAAAACAAATCGAAAGCTTTTGAGAATCAATCATTAAACGAATTCGATTCGACATACCTGTTTTTCCTCGAGGCTTGAAAACTCCTAGAAAATAAGAAGACGAAAAAAAAAAAAGAGAAAAGAAAATGATATGGAGACGAAAGAAAAAAAAAATGAAACAATTTTGAACCCTGAAACTTTTCTGTGTGTTTATATAGGGGGTGTCTCAGTGGAGAAGGGTATTTTGGGAATTTCATGCCCAGTTTGACTCGGACGCGGCGGTGACCAACAAATGTTCCCACGCCGCACCGCCTCCGTTGACTCACGACTATCAGTGTTATTTACAAAATTGAACTAATTTAATTCTATTAAACATTATTTTATAAATTATTTTAAATAAAAAAATTAATTGACTCAGTTAAAATCCATATATTCAAACAATAATTTTTAAATTTTTATTTAATTTTTATTAATAAAATTTCAATTAAGCAGTGTAATTTTTGTTAATAATTATAAATTACATAATTTAATAACATATAATTATATATGTTTTTATAGTGACCAAAATGACCATCTCAAAGGTAGATTATTAGCGAAAATATCAAATTAAAAAATATTATTTGAATATGTCAAGAAATTAACTATAATTTTTGCTTACTTAAATTAGAATAATACAATTTTTAATTAATATAATTTGAAATGTATTATCTAAATTTAATATAACATTAAAATTTTTTATTATGGTTATACATTTTACATTGTACTAAAAATTAATTTTTAAAAATAAATTTCAAATAATTTTTAACCTTAAAATATTATTAGTGTTAAAGTTAAATATATAGTTCATTAAAAATTAAATAAATAATATTCTATAACAAAAGGAATAAATATATATTTTTTATATAAAACGTAAAATTATTTTGTCAAATTTTGTTAATAATTTGATTATCTTTTATATTATTATTATTATTATTATTTTGATGAGATTTATTAATTTTTTTATTATTTTTTAGTAACTATCTTATTGTTTTCATTATTTTATTTTTATAAATGTTTTGGACCGAACCGAACCCGGATTCGGGTTCACACCAACCCGAAAAGGTAGGTAGTCTAATTATTCTTGATCCGGTCTACTCATAACCAGGAGCCGGATTAATCCAGCTCGTTAATTTCGTTGACCAATCATCGCCGAGGTCAGCGAGCAGCAAATCTAATTTTCCCTCCTATAAATTCAATGCGTCTGGATTCGCGCCAAGCATGTTTTCCACTAACCTTTTTAAATTTTCTCCAGATACTTCCCAAATTCCCTGCTCTTCCATCTCCAGAGCAATACTGCATGCTGAGCGGCCTGAGGCATGCCTCATTTTCATCAAGCTCCTTATTGGAATCCGCCATCGGCGGGGAGAGCACGTGGATCCTTCGTCGCCGTCGCCTTCTCCCTGCATAGAGTCAGGATTTTGGCGTGCGGTGATCCCTGAATCTGCCAGGCATTTTTTTTTTTTTTTTTCTTATTTAACATAATTTCCTAACGAATTCAATTGTATACTTAAGGTTGGATAAAATATGATTTTATGCAGTTCTGCATAGAGAGTGAGAGACAAGAGCCGCTTGGGATCGAAGAAGAGCTTGAAGATAGATATGGACATCTATCTTATTTGGTGGAGCGAGGATGAGAAAAAGGATGCTGCAGACGAAAGAGGAATTCAGTGCAATCACAGGACAAGTCACATTACCATGATGGATCTTCGAGTCAATGATGGTCCTCTATGCTGGAATAACGCTAAGGCTTCGAAAAGGAATATTAATCGTCCATGACTCTAACTGAGAGATCTGAATCATGTAAATCTCAGGTTAATACTTTTGGTCCTCGCCAACTTCCAAGTTTCACTGGATTAAGCAACTTGACAGTGACTAAACATATTTTGACACACTACTTCTATATACTTTTATTATAATGTCAAGTTCTTCATGGAAGTATGTGTTCTGTGATTAGTTCTGTTGGTTGCCAAAAGGATTCCTTATGGTAAACAAGTGGAGGATGATTTGGAGGACTCCGCTAATTTTCCTGTTAACAGTCCCAAGGTAAGTTTTTCTTTTTCAGAATTATCTCTTTTGTGATTTTATTATTTTATTACATTTTTCTTGTTTATTGATCAGAATTAGTTTTCTGATCCACTTTTGATTTTTTATATGTATGTATGTATGTCTTACTCTTAGATAATTAAAATATATAAGTAATTTGGTTTTATTTATTATTTTAGCTATTAAGTAGTTGAGATTTATAAGTTCATAAAGTTATGAACTCTTGAAAAATTAGTGAAAAACAAATTTGATTTCTTGCGCATATATGCATTACTCAGAGGCCAAAACCAACACGGTATGCCCGGTGTATACACTAAATACCTACTTGGTTTAAATAGAAAGCTAATTAGATTAACAATTCAATCCTCATTTGCCTCGTCGTCATCATTATATATCCTTTTGCGAGTCATGAATGGATCAACGCCAATTGTCTTACCTGCCCCAATATGGGAGGGGGCAGTGGCAAGCTTGGGACTATCAGAATTTAGATCAAGAACATTGCAGTATTGTTGAACAACTAAAACCGATGATCTCAAAGAGAAATTAGAAGAAGCTAAGATGTCTCCTATAATTCCCAACTCCTGGCAACTCTCCCAATCTGACAACCCTTTTAGCAATTTCGATTTGACTCCCAACTCTCCTCTTCCCACGATGCATAAATCATACTTATCTTCCAAATCTTTTATCACTGTTATTATCTCCGATCCGTCATTCACCACTTTCTCTATGTAAGTCACAGATGAAAGATTCATTGTTTTGAAAGTAAACTCGTATAAACACTCGCTGTCTTTTTCCTTCTCCCTTTGCCATGTCAATTCTTCTTCCAATTCGGATTCCCCGTCAACCCCAGTACCCTTTTGATACATCTGGACTCTTGAGGCTTCCTCACCCGCCACAAATCTCACCACTGTCAACTCTATATTAGGATATCCACCCATCCTCCAAGCATACATCAAAGCCTCTCGATCATCAGCCCCGCCAAGGAAGAACATGACCACCTGTTTTCTCTTGGGTGCAACGTACGAATCACCCGGACCGTGTTGGGACGCAATGTGCAAAGCGCCCATTCCTCGGTCCACCAGTATGCCGACTGAGCAAGGCGCTGTTGTTAGTACAATCTGGTTGATGTTCGCAAATTCATCGTTTACCTTTTCCATGGTACCAGTGGCGGTTAACTGCCTATGATACGGCAGGATGATGAAACTCACACACTTATCCTCCGCCATGCTGCAGATGTCGTCGTGCATGGTGTCATACGGGGAGACGGCAGTCACGGTGTGGGTTCTGACGAAGCTCTTCTCCTCCTCAAGATGTTCAAAGGCGTTGACTATGTGAGTTCCAGACTCTGCATTATTAAACTGGTCGCCTCTAGTTCTGTACTCATTGTTGGTAATGAGTATGGAGGCTGCGGTTCGGCCGGTGAGTTCGACGAGATGCATGGCGAAAATGCAAAGAGGAGAATTTGAGGTGGGATTACATGCTCGCATGAGGTTGGTGATGCTTAATGCATTTTGCAGGTTGTGGACGCAAGCTAGGATTCGGAATTCTCCATGTTGCTTCACTTTTTCAATGGTTCTCTTCTTGTTTTGTCTTGGAATCCTTGTGGGCTTGTGAGTTAGATATAAGATCGGCTTCGTTAGACATGTCATAACCAGGAGAGAGAGCATCATTATTGTGAATGTCTTGTTGTCCAAAACCTAGAAATTTACAGTAATGAATTAGGAGAAGAAGAGGAAGAGGAAGAAGAAGAAGAAGAAGCAGATTAGAATCACCTTCATGTCACGACCGACATTGACGATGACTTGAGCTAAAATCCCTTTTGTATTCATGAGCAAGCCGAGAGCCAGGCCGTCTTTAGGTGGCACGCCATAGATGAGCGAGACAAGGTAAGTGCTGATAATCTTGGTTGCGCAGTTCGCAATTACAGTTCCCACAATGAGTAAAGGAGATGTTCCTATGAACATGTGACTGAAATTGAACCTCAATCCGCTGCTGAGAAAGAACAGGGGCATTAAAATAGCAGATATGAAATTATGAATCTTCTCCACGATCAAATCTCTGATAATATGCCCCTCTGGCATTATAATCCCGAACATGAAGGCACCCACAATCGCATGTGCACCCGATAGGTCAGTGATGAGTCCGCAGAGCAAAACCCCAGCTAAAATAAACGTGATATGGTTGTCAGTCACACGTTTTTTCGCTTTAGTGGCTCTTGAAATTGCCCATGATAGAAACGGCCGTACGATAAACCAACAGAAGATACCGAAGGTGATGGTGGTTGCCCATGCCCAGATGTTGCCGACGGCGGTGAAGATTGAAACGATGAGTATAAGATGAAGCCAAGCGAGCAAATCAGAAATAATGGCTGCCACCATTGCTGTCTTGCCGATTTCTGTTCTGAGGAGCTTGAGATCTGAAAGGATTCTGACAAGGTCTGAGAAGTTTGTGGCGCTGAGAGTCACCGCCCAGAATACACCTTTAATACCTTCTTTGGAGAATATGCCGTCGGTTTTCACAACTTCACTGTAGAAGAACATGGCTACGGCGAAGGAGAAGAGAATTCCAGTGATTGCAATGCTGAGAGCTTTTGACCCAACTCGCTTCATTAGTGACAAGTCCATTTCTAGACCCACCAAGAACATGTTGTAAACCAGAGCTAGGTTTGCAAAACTCTCCAGCACTAGAGCATATCTGTAAGGAAATATAAAACCACGCACCAGGAGATTCTCTCCAATCCCAGACGGACCCAATAATATACCACTCTGCACAAATTAGTATTCATTCATATAATTCAATAATCACATCTACCAACAAAATTGTAAAATTTTATTTTTTACAATAAAATATTCACGATTAAAACACATTAACAAACTCACATAGTAAAAAAAATAAAATAAAATGATTGCTTACGAGCATTTGGGCAACAAATCGAGGTATTCGCAGAAATTTGGCCAAAGAGAAAACGGGGCGAAAAACAGCGTTGCCGATGAACAATTGCATTAAGAAGAACGGAAAGGATGTGCCGGCGACATGCGGGTCAGTCGTTCTGACCGGCGGTGACTGGAAAGGTGTGAACATTGTGGTTCTATTTTTCCAACTACATATGTTAATTCCACCGCCATTTTTGTTGAGTACAATTGCCAGATCCGGAGAGGGCCTCAAAATTGCTAGCGTGCTGTTCGTGGCGGCGGGAGTCCGGAATGCCATTAATAATCACCGACGATACAAACCTCAGCTAATTAATTAACTTTCATTAATTGAAATTATCATACAAGATTCAAGAGTCTCTTTACCGTAATTTGTTAATTAGTTTTTTAATTAATAGCTGTGATTAATTATAATCTTGCTCAAAATTGTGGTTTTTCCTGTAGGAAGTTGGAACTAACCCAATTCAAAATTTTATGTACAGGAGGACAGCTCCTGCTTTTAATAGAAAAAATCCTGTAAACTTACTAGAAAGAAATATATATATATATATATAATTAATTTAACTGGTAAACTCTAATTTTTAAATTTTATTAATGTTTTAAATATCATTAATTTTAAAATATAAAAAAGTAATACTTTTAAACTTGAATTTTATATAATATATTAAATTAATAATTTCAAATAATTAATTGGACTGATTTTTTTTTAATAAAAAGATTAAATTAATAAAAAATAATTTAATTAATAAATTATATTTTAATAAGAATTAATTATTTTTAAAAATAATAGGACAAGATTAATAGATCAAAAATGATTGAATAATAACAAAAAAAAAAAAATTCAAGTGCGATTAATTAGAATACAAGAATATTAATTACAAATAATCTTAATTAACTAAACACCTACATTACCAAGCCAGAATAATAATGGAGGTTGAGCAATAGCTACCAACAAGAGAAGATAATTTCTCTTGCTAGAGTAACAATGCTTCTCTGATCTCCTCACTTCTGCAATCAAAACTCTTTTCATTATCTTGACAAGCAACGTTCCCATGCACAAACATTCCCAGAAAATTAGAAAATAAAAGCAGTAGATTCCGAGAATTCGTCCGAGCAAGACGACCGAGACTGCGACGAAGGTGTATCCGCTGTACGCCACCACATCGAGCAACGGTATGTCTCCGTCACCGAGGGAATGTAGCACAGCTTCAAGCAGAAGAACTTGGAATAACCAGCAAAGAAGGCCGTTGGTCAGTTGCACTCCCATAGCTCCTGGGCTAAAACTGTAGTACATAAATATTTAGCAAAAATTAAATATATATATATATATCTACTGTAACGTGTATAACAAAATTCAAAAATATGGTAGTACTCTCAAAATAATTTAATTAGGATTTTTTTTTTGAAAATGAAATATTAATTCCTAGATATGCCAGCAGTTTACTCTTTTTCCGGCGGTTTTGACAGTCATTATATACATCAATATATATATATAGTCTACATTTCAAATTCAATAACATGAAAAACCAAAGTAAAAAACATTAAAAGCTTTTATCAATAGAAGATCCACCACATGCAAACGAACAAAACGTTTATATACATAATACATATATATATATATATAGAGAACAGAATCAAGTCTTTCATAATATGTTCTTAATAGATACTGAAAATGGGTTTAAATGTAATTACAATTATAATTATAATTACAATAATCTTGTCTGACTTACATTCCAGTGATACCCAGAAAAAAACCAGCCAGAACCAGGTAAGTACCAAATGCCATCAATGGAATATATAAATCTGGTGCATTGATATCATAAACTGGAGGCTTGTATATCAACTCTCCCCCATGTGTCTCTGTTGCTCTCATCCAATGTCCCTACATATATATATATATATATATATACACACACACACATATACTTACTTGAACAAGAATTAATGGGCATACTTAACAACAAAATTAAATTAACCTTTTTACCCTATATAGAAATGGGAACAAAATCAACTTCAATTTGTTTATTACATAATCATTGTCCACTTCGAAGTAGTATTGTGGGTTCGACAAATATCTACTAATCTGTACTTATTCGAAGAATTAACACAGTTAGTTAAAAAAATAAAGTACAACAATATTTTTTCGTGTATACATTTATAGACATACGTATAAACATATAATACTTACATTACCATGCACATAATTTGAGCTTGAGCCAAAGAGTTTTTCGCCATAAGCCGTGAGTTCGGTTTTGATCATATCCGAGCCAGCTCCGTGGAGTACATTGCGAAATGAAGTATTGTTTTGATGATTTGGTGGGTGGTAGATATTCAAGATATGTGTATGACTTCCTGAATTCTGATGATAATTGTACATATTTTCTGAAATTGTCTTGAAAAGAAAAATTAAAATGAGAAAAGAAGAAAAGGGTGTTCTAAAATGATCAAGAAAAATGTGTTCTTCTATCTTTTTTTTAAGCTTTATGTATACGTATGTATTGAAATCAAATGGTTAGGCCATTTAATGGACGCGTGCGGACGTGGCTTTATCTGATTGGGCCTTCATAATGCTGTGCCAACGTACGTCGAAGTTAGCCAAAGCACTTTTGGTAACACCACCAACCTTATCGGCTATTCCGTTCTTTAAGACGAGCACCGTAATGTCTGGTCGTGATCGGCTGACATTTTAGAAATATTTTTTTTTTTATTCAATCAAAATAAATTCTTTTTGAAAAATAAAAATAAATTAATTACCTAAAATTTTATGCAAAATATTCTAATTTTATTATTTATTTTACAATAATTATACAGGTATTAATCAAGATTAGTAATTTTTTACATAATAAAAAATTAAAATAGTTATTAAAAATTTAAATTTAAATTAATATTTTAAGAAGTTTTAATGATGTAATATATAAAGGTTCGGAATTTAAATAAAAATAAAATCATAAATTAAATACGAAAACGAAATAATAGAGTTTAAGATTTATATTTTTTATAAGATAATTTAAAATATTCAATAGGAATACAAGAATGCCCATTCTAAAAGAACAAATAAAAATTAAAGAAATAAATAAAAGGCAACATACTGAGCATTCTAGTATGACATTCATTAGATTTTGAAGGGAGTACGGGTGGTGAACTATTCACAACTCTCCTATTGATCGGGATCCTGGTCATGATTCTCTTGATCTGAAATAGTTAATAAAATGGTAAGTTATACTAACTCAGTAATAATATCACACTACTCACCGATACAGAAATTAAAAGTTGGTAAAAATTATAAAAACAATCAATAAAACTCTTGAGTTAAGTAAATTCATTTATCATAAGAAAAACCATTTATTGCATATATTTACCGTTGCGAGATTTCCAAAATCGACCTATAGAGACAATAACTCAAATAACATTTCAATCTCATTTTCAAATGAGTAATAACAATCACTTCTTTTTTTATTTATCTACTAGTATCCCTGGCTCATAAAGATGTCTCACTACGCGTGAACTAATATTCAACATTGTCAACTAATCGTCGTCCCCATACCCGGTCCGGTATGAGTACCAAAAGTATCATTTTTCAATACTTCTTCCGGTATGAAGGTGAATTGGACTGTTCCCATACCTTATCCGGTATGAGTGCCAAAAATACCATTCCTCAATATATCGTCCGTTATAAGGCAACGTTCACGGTAGGGTTCCCTATGTATCCGGTTCGTCCAACATCTCCTAAAATATCCAGTAAGACTGTCATTCATTAATTTACATGACCAAACAAGTTTTCGTTTGCATATTAATTTCTAATTTCACAAATCAACCGTAAATCTCGCAAGATAAACAATATATATATCAAGAAAACACAATTGAATCATTCAACCATTCTATTATATCATCATGTATTTAAAGCTATAAATTCAACAATCAGTTAAACATGATAAATAAAGAACTAACGAGTTTCGGCTCTATTAGTAACCTGTAATTATTCTCAAAATTTTTTAAATTACACAGAATACCATATTATCGATTATTAAGCTTCAATTCCATAATCGAGAATAATGTGAGGGATTCTTACCCGAATCGGTGTCTAAAATACCAAACTTTCTACTATGCCTACTGCCGGTCCCCGGGTTTCCTGAATTTTTTTGCGAGAATTAAAACACGCCTCATGTACCTAAAAATATCATAAAAATTCAAAATCAGTATTAAAATTTCTTTTCCAGCAAATTTTGGGATTCTTGCATGGCGGCACCACCGCCCGCAGCGGCAGTTTGGCTCGGCCTAGCCATTTTTAGCCAGCTTTGGCTGATTTCAGTCAGTTTTATACCCACCCCTGCAAGAAAACAAGTTAGAGGGTCTCGGTTATCTAAAAAAAAAAACATAAACTTACCGGTGGTGAAATTTTTTGGTGTGGTAGCTCCGCCGGTTCACCTTCGCGGCTGGACGTTTTTTTTTTGTCAACCTGTAGAAAACAGAACGGTAAACACAATAATAAAAAAATCGCATAAAACGAAAAACGGGAAGGGGCTCATCGAAGGAGGTTGTGTGTTTTGCCCATGGCGGCACCGCCGGGCTTTACCCGTGATTTTCGGCTCACCCACCATTTGTTTTGCTCCAATTTGGTAATTGAGGTGCTCAAAATAAAATTCCGAGCTGATAGAAGAATTTTTACCTTTTTTGGTAGTCAGAGGTGGCTCCTGCACGACGGTCAGCTCCCTTCTCCAACGACTAGTTCTTTTTATCCGGCAGAAGGCTGGCGATTAAAGTTTGGGTTCGATGTGATGCAAAATATTTATACCCGTCTCGCGTTAATTTAGACCATTCATCGCGTTGATATCGACCATCCGATCACATTTAAAGAGAAAATGAATCTAGATCGTTTATCGAGATTTGATATCGACTGTCCAATTGCGTTTAAAGAAGAAATGAATCTAAATCGTTTATCGTATTTAATCGCGACTGTCCGATCGCGCCTGAAGAAGAAACGAATCCAGATTGTCCACGCGCATGGGAACACTTCTGGACCGTCCGATCGCGGGGCATGCAGATCACCAGTGTGGCCTATCACGTCGCACCGAGTCAGTGTATCTTGTCATGCAGCGCATTGCGGTTCATCGAGGCTACTAACTGGACGGTCCTACGTGACGTAGTTTTCTTTAATTCCGTTCGAATCTCCAATTTCTTATTTTTCTTTCAAAACCACCATCTGAACCCAAAATTTCACTGTTTTTCCAATTTGTTTTCAATTTAATCTTCAACCTATTTTTTTTCCATAATTTTCCATTAAATCAAAATTTATAAATTTTAAAAATAGATTTTTATATATATTTTTAATATTAAAATTAATCTCGGGCCAAATTTCGAACCCAGGTATTAATACTCTTCCCCCTTTAAAAGAAATTTAGTCCCTCAAATTTATCTCCCTCCCCTCAATCAAATAGTTGGAGATACTAGACTCTGAAGTCTGATTATATCTCCCATGTGGCTTCTCTTTGTGTGTAATTCTGCCATAGTACCTTAACTAAGAGAATTTTTTGGTTGCAGAGTACTCTACTCTTTTGGTCTACAACGTCCACTGATACCTCCTCATAGGACAGATCCTCTTAGAGTGAAAGGGGCTCGTGGGCTAAGATGTGAGAGGGATCCGAGTTGTACTTACGTAATATGGACACATGAAACATATTATGGACTCTAGATAGTTCTGGAGATAGTGCCAGTCTATAAGCGACGGTACAAATTCTGTCTAAGATCTCATATGACCCAATAAACTGGGAATTTAATTTCCTCATTTTGCCAAACTTATTGATTCTCTTGAAAGGGGTGACCTTAAAGAACACTTGATCACCTTTCTCAAATTCTAAATCTCTCTTCCGGGTGTCCGCATAACTCTTCTATCTGCTCAAAGCTGTTTGTATGTTCTTCATGATCTTAACTATTTTCGCTGTAGTCTCCTCCATAAGATTTGCGTCGAATAATTTTCTATCATTCACCTCTTCCCAACAGATCGATGATCTGCATGGGCGGCTATATAACGCCTCGTACGGAGCTATGCCGATACTCATTTGGTATCTGTTATAGTAGGTGAACTCTAATAAGGATAAATGATCATCTCAATGGGCCCCGAAGTCAAGAACACAAGCTCAGAGTATATCCTCTAGTGTGCGGATCATCCTTTCTGATTGTCCATCGATATGAGGGTAGAATGCGATACTAAAAGATAATTTCATTCCCATGACTTGCTGAAAACTAAACTAGAACTAAGAAGTGAACCTGGGGTCCCTATCAGATACTACTGTCACTGACACTCTATGTAACCTAACTATCTCCCGGATATATATTTTTACTAGCTTGTCTAATGGATCAGTCATCTTGATGGCCAAGAAGTGAGAAGAATTGGTGAGCCGATCAACAATTACCCAAATGACATCATGTCCCGAGCGTGCCTTAGATAATCCTGTCACAAAATCTATTATGATGTATTCCCACTTTCACTCTTAAATTAGTAATGGTTGAAGTAGTCTACTTGTGCGTTGATGTTTTACCTTGACCTGCTGACATACTACACACTTGAAAATAAAGTTGGCCACTTCTCTTTTCATCATGTTCCACCAAAACCAGGATCCAATATTTTAATACATCTTAGTGCTTCCGAGATGTATGAAAAACTTTGAGCTATGAGTCTTTGTTATAATATCCCTTTTCATCTCACTGTCACATGGAACACACATGCTATCCTGAAATCTGAGTAACCCATCAGTAGAAACTCAAAATTCTGAATTTACTCCCTGTTCATCAAATCCGTAAAAATAGTTGGTGCGTTGGTTAGTCTAAATGGTATGACGATGAACTCATAATGTCTATACCTAGTTCGAAAAGCTGTTTTGAGAATGTCTTCTATCTTGATCTTTATCTGATAGTAACTTAAACGCAAATCTATTTTGGAGAAGACTTGGGCACCCTGCAACTGATCAAAAGGTCATCGATCTTGGGGAAGGGGTACTTGTTCTTGATCGTGACCATGTTCAGTTCTCTGTAGTCAATATATAACTTTAACGTCCCATCCTCCTTCTTTGTAAATATGACTCCAGCACCCCAAGGGAACACACTATGTTGGATGAACCCACTATCCTGCAGTTCATTGATATATTTTTTCAACTCTTCCATCTCAACACAACTCATGCGGTAAAGGGCAACCGAGATAGGCTGGGTGCTTGACTGTAGGTGTATAGTGAATTCAACTTCTATGTCCACTAGTAGTTCGGGTAGTTCATCAGAAAACAAATCCAAGAAGTTTCAGACTATCAGAATCTATCGAATACAAATTTCTTTCTTAGGTTTACCTAAGTAGAGAAAACAGCCGAGTTAAAGCACTTGGTAATAAGA